AACTTCTCTCTTCCCCATTTTTCCTGTTCTGCCGTGATTTTATCTCTTGATCAACATCTGATCGTCAATTGATCTCGCCAACAACCCGGAAAATACAATAACGCCTACACGACCGCCACAATGGCCGGCCCTACCTCGCGCCCTATACCTCGCCTCACCTCCAAACAGGAATGCTATAGAGGAGGAGCTCGAGGTACTGTACGATGCTTATTACGAGGAGCTAGAACAGTACGCGAACCACCAGCAGCGTTATGTAAATTCCGGCGGCACGATTCCACCCCCTCCTGGTCCCGGGCCCTTCCCCGGCAGTGTCGAGCTCGACAAGAACGGCGATGTAGTATCACCTATACCGACGGGTGCAAATAATAAACGTCGCAGTGGCGGTAAGCAGCGTCAGCAGCCACCGTCTATAAATGGTAGAAAAGCGCCTTCGACAGCACACCATGATCCTCCACAACATCTGCATCACAATCATCATCACAAAGAAAGCGAATTCGAAGATGAGGAGCCTGATGAATACGAAGATGAAGAGGAGGAGTATGAAGACGAAGAGGAGGAGGAGGAAGAGGAGGAAGAGGAAGAGGAAGAGGAGGAAGAAGAAGAAGAGACAGGGAGAGTAGTTAATGGACAAGGGAAAGTTGCTCGTCAAACACCTGCAGGCAGGAGGAGCGCGGTAGGAAAGAATGGGAGGAGGGTGAACGGGGTGAAGCGGGATGGGTTCAACCTGTCAAATTTGGCTGTAAGCGGTGAGTATTTTGCAATTATTTCCGTATCTCGCTCGGAACACCTCATGTATCCTTCTCTCTGGTATTGATGTTCCGTTTAACGGCACCCCCTTCATTTCGCCAGGTCCGGGTAATATCCTGACTGTAGCCGACGACCTACTGAAGAATGATGGCCAGAAGTTTTTAGAGATGATGGAGCAGTTGGCAGAGCGGCGGATGCAGCGAGAAGAGGAGGCGGCGGCTGATGTGGAGGATGACAGTGAGGAGGATAGTGAAGATGACGGAGATGATGCGAGTGACGGGGAAGATGGAGAAGACGGAGAGGGCGGCAGTGAGGACGACGAGGATGAAGATGAGGAGGATGAAGAGGTGGGTTTCCTATTTCCTAATTGCCTTTGTTTCTCGTCTTGGAAGCGCCGCCGTATAAGGTCGCTGTTGGCACGCGAGTTATCCCGTTTTGGGTATCGCGGTGCACACGATCGTTTGTTGGTTTACCGGAACAAGCGTATTTACGCTATCCTCATTTCCCATAAACCAACACCCTCCATTTTGCCAGTTTCAGATAAATAACGATTGATACTGACTGGTTCTGTTTCATATCTCTCTTACCCCTCTTCGTAACTTCACAACACTCTGCACTTGCGCCCCCCTCTCCACACTCGCTGTTGACGTCGGACACGATGATACGTACACAACGGTCTCGGTCGCCTGTGCGATTCCGCCACCGGAATACTGGACGTACAATTAATCTCCACCTCGCTGACGAACCTTCGGTGATCCCGCGATACAACCCCAACGCTGTGGATCTGACGAAAATGCTCGATATATGGCCGTATCCTCCCTCGCTCATAACGGACTACCTAACAAATTCGTATTCGCCATATGCAATTGCCCCTGTGGCGAATCTACCCGTTTCGCGCAAATTGGACCCTGGCCCGAACACGACATTGTCTTCCCCCACGGATCTGATACCACCCGAATATGAATGTGAATCGCAACAATGCACGGTGCCGATGTTATTCTCATATAATGATGATACACTACTGGATATATCGCGGATTGTGTGTACGTTTGCACAGATCATGACGGAGGAGCAAAAGATGGAGGAGGGGAAGCGAATGTTTTCGATATTTGCAGCGAGGATGTTTGAGCAGCGGGTGCTGCAGGCGTACCGGGAAAAGGTAGCGCAGGAGAGACAGATGCAGTTGTTGCGGGAGTTGGAGGATGAGGATAAGATGACGAAGGAGCGAGAGCAGAAGAAGCAGTCTGCGAATCAGAGGAAGAAGGATAAGAAACGGTGTGTATTTCCTACCTTTTGCCCATTTTTGTGTTTGTTGTGGGCGTTGGAGCTGCAGCTGATGTTGCATTTTTTGTGTGTGATTTATGTTTTTATAGGCAGCAGAAGCTCGCGAGAGAGGAAGAGAAGGCGGCCAAGGCGGCTGAGAAAGCTGCTGAGGAGGCTGTTGCGAAAGCGCGCCTGGCTGCGTTGGAGGAGGAGAGTAAGAAGAGGAAGGAGGAGGAACGCGCGAAGCGAGAGGCGGCGCGTAAGGCCGCTGAGGAAGAACGGGCACGTAAAGAGGAGGACAAGCGAAAACGTGTGCAGGAGGAACGTGAGCGCGAAGTTGAGCGTGAACGGAAGAGGAAGGAAAAGGAGGACCGACTGAGGGCGGAGAAGCGGGAGAGGGAGGAGAAGGAGAGAAAAGCGAGAGAGGAGAAGGAAGCGAGATTAACCAAGGAGAGGGAGGAGCGAGAAAAGGCTGAAAGGGAACGGAGGGAGAAGGAGAAGGCTGAGCGGGAGGAGAGGGAGCGGATTGAGAAGGAGAAGAAGGCGCAGAAAGAGGAGAAAGAGAGGGTTGAGAGGGAGGCGAGGGAAAAGCAAGCGGCACAACAAAGAGCTGCGACTGCCCAGCAGCAACAGAATGCTGGTCCTTCGTCAGGGAAGCAACCTATACGCAATGCGTATACGATGCCCTCAACATCACCTATGAAGCCCAACAATGGCCTTGTTTCATCTGGTTCGTCGCCCGCTGGATTGCAGCGCTCACCGAACAATAGTGGAAATGGTGTCAATAGTACGCTACCCACTCCTACAAAGAAAGGCTTCAACAAACCCCCTGTTCTCTCTGCCTCCATGTCCTCGCCGAATATCCTGGTCAATCCTAACCGCCAACCTGCTCCCCAACACCTCCCCCAGATACCTCAACAAGGCGGTCCATCTCGAGCACCTCAACCTCCTGTGGGTTCACAACCCCCGACACCGATCACCCCCCAACTCCCCCCTCCTCATCTTGCTTCCCTTCCTCAATCGCCAGGCATGTTGTTCGGCCAGGGCCCACCAGGTCCAGGCGGAATGATGCCGTCGTCAGCCATGTCACCTCGTCTGGGCAATTTTGGTCCTGGACCTGTACCTTTCCCCTTCGGCGCGCCCGGTATGCAACAACCACCCCTCCAGCCCTCTGCTCTCCCCCGGAATTTCAACGGCCCGCCGTTTGATCCTACTTTCCAGCGTGGCGTGCCTGTGGGTCTTCCGTCTGGAGTGCCATCACCCATCGGCCCGCCTTCGAAGCCCAAAACTCCGATGGCTGGTTCTTCTGGATCACCGACCACGCCCGGGCCTGGCCCTGGCCCTGGAGCTGCGCCGGGTGCTGGGGCAGGAGTGGGGCCGCAACAGCCGTCTTCGCTGGCACCTGGATCAGGAAGAAGAAGCGCGCATGCTGGGCTTCCTGATGGTAGTGCACCTGGGCCGAGCGCATCATTATCCCATCTCCCGGGATCACATCCCGCGCTTAATCTCGGACCGATTTCGCGGCCTATCGCGCCTATTGCCCGACCGACGGGATCGTCGAATACTGCTCCTGGTATTACTATGAGTAGCGGTAATGGTACGAATGGTGATAACTCGAGTCCGAGGTCGAATTCCCCTGTGCGGAGGAGTCCGAGTCCGAAAGGTATCTTGGGATCATCGGCGCTTGCAGCGGATGATGATGAAGTCGTGTCTCCTGCTACTCGCCGGCCTACTGGGACTGCTCCAATAGGGATTGGTGTTGGTGGTAACATTGGTCCAGGGTTGGGTAGTGCAGGACTTGGCGGCGTCGGTATGGGTGGTGTTGGAATAGGGGGTGTAGGTGTTGGTATGGGTGTGGGTGTGGGTGTAGGCATGATTGGCCAACCGCCTTGGGGGCCCTCGAGTCCTCGTGGAGCTGTAGGCGAAGGTCATGCGGGATTGCGAACGACACCGTGGGGTCCTCCAGCAGGAGGGTTCTCAGCACCGGGCGCACGACCTGGGGGCCCTGGACCTGGTAATGGTCCTCCAGGTCCTCCGCCTATTGGGCCTCCAGGGAACAATCACAATCACAATCACAACCATAATCATAATCATAACGGCCACCATAATCACAACCACCCTATAGGCCATCCACTGCATCCGGGCCATCCCCCTCATCCACACTCACATCCTCATCCTCCCCCTGGTGCGCCAGGTAACGTTACATCATTATGGGGCACGAATGCGCCTGGTGTTACCCCAGATTGGCATCCCGTCCCACCTGGCAGTGCTGGTGGTGGTAACTTCTTCGGTGGTCCGTTTATGGGCCATAATACTCCCGGGTCGCCTGCGCCGCACTCTGGTACGTAGGTTAGAGAAGAGAGGGCGGAGGGAGTGTAGTGATGGGTGGATGGTGTGCGGCGCGCTGTGGTGATGGCAATTACGGCGCTTGTTGTTATTTTTTCAAGATAACAATAGATGTCGATGTGCACTCTTACCGCAGAAGGATGGATAATTATCGGCTGTTCTTTTCTTCTCTCTTTTCTCTCGTTCTTTACATACTGTTTTCGATAGTTAGTAGTCTGATTGCACCAATCGCTGCTTCCTTTCTTGATCTTGCACTCTTCCATCCTCTCATACCTGTTTCTCGCCCTTCTTATTCGCATCGGATCCGAGCAACTGCAATGCAAGCAATACTCAATACTCAGTTTCAATTCCTCGCTTTTTTATTATTACTTGTCTCTCGTTTCCTCGATCATGTCTGTCTGTGCCACTAACAACAAATGACTCTGAAAGACTACAAGGGCTCACAAAATAGTCAAGTTCCCGCTGTGTATTGGAAGCTGACAACCTAACGCAATCCGCCCCAATGCGTTGCACTCCCAGGTCAGACTGTCACTCTGATGTGAGTAATAGGTAACTATCAAAGCGGATGATGGGCGCACATGGATTAATAGTCATCGAGCACAACAATCAGAGATCTCGTCCACAACTAGCGCCGTCTCTTCAATCCGACCTTAGCTCAGTTGGCAGAGCGCGAGACTGTAATGGGAACCGTCCTTCGTTTCATCTATGGACATTTGGAATCTTGAGGTCGCTTGTTCGAGGCAAGCAGGTCGGATAGATGGTCCCTTTTTTTCGTCAATTACCAGTGGTTCAAAGTGAATTTTGGAGTGAGGTATAAATCCTTCCGCTGGCTGCTGGTCATACTGAATGTCCGTTTAATGTGAATAGGGACCGGGCGCATCGTTGACGTTGGAGTTATTTTTGGTAAGTGGGCCTGGAAATGCTTCGTGTTTGATATTGGTGTCCGTTTACTGCTGTCCAAACGAAATCGGATAAAGTGAGAATCATCAATCATTGGCCGACTCTTGGTTTGGCAGTGGGCTAGCAGTAGCAATTAAATTCGGCAGGATGGGGTAGTCTAAGGTACAATATGTGTCGTGTGTGGTACATGCATATGAGCAAAGCAAGGAATGAATGAGCGGTCAGAGAATACAGGACGAGGAGCGAACATGGAGCATAAGTTACGAGATCTCCTCCATGTCCTCATCATCGTCATCCTCGTCATATTCTTCATCCATCTCCATCTTGACGCCATCACCGGGCGTACTCGAACTCGGGACGTTCTCCCCCTTGATCTGTCATCACGCAAGTCAGATTAAATAAAATAAAAATACGCAAAAGAGACACACGTTTTCGTCCTTGTAGTTCTCCTTCAACTCCCACATACCGTTATGCTCTCCACTCCTATGTAAAAACGCAATTTCCGAAAGCACTTCTTTGAGATAAGCTTCTGGTTGTTGTGTCTTGTCACGCAGTGGCCGTAGACCCCAGCGTGGCGTCTCGCGAAAGTGGGTGAAAAGCTGGTCGAGGAGTTGGTTGCGAGGTATGCGGGCCATACGCTCGAAACCTTTTTGAGGTTTTGGCTTCGTTTTCTGAGGGGCCGTGGCCGGGTCATGAGCTGAGCTGAACGACAAGGTAGACGAGACTCACGATAAGATCACTGAACGCGCCACCACTTCCAATGCCCACACCACTGCTGAGTCGATTGATTCCACCGCGTCCACCGGACACCCCGGCTTCCTCAATCATCCTTATCTGCCTCTGCTTGGTGTTGTACTTCAGGTGCCGTTCCCGCATCTGTTTCCTGTAGTTCTCATTAAACGATGGCCGGAGGTTACATTCATGTTTAATCCGGCCCGTCAGTATTGTCGTCCGTGCTCTTGAGTTGAAGGGTGCATTAGATCCATGTACAGATAGTGATGTGTCCTTTGGTCGTTCAGCGACAACGATCTGGTTTTCCACAGTCTCGTTAACCATGTCGAGTTCATAGCAATCTGGCTCGGCGCCAGTTGCGGCGTAAGAGGTAGTGAAGTTGAATGCGGGGCGGTTTGGAAGTTGTGGCGGCGGAGTCCCAGTAGCAGAACCGTTCGACTCCTGACTATTGTTCGGGTCTCGGTTCGGTGGCAGGAAGAGGACAAAGCGCGGTTTGCCGCCTGCTGGAGGTGTGTAGACGCGTATCGTGGCGAGGTGGACGTCTTCTGCGTTCACAGCTGCCCAACGTTCCATAAGGAATTTGGGAATCTGGAGAGTGTAATTAAGTGAACATCTGGTCTGGGGGTGCAGGGGTACAGAGAGGGACCTTGACGAGCCAAACACGCCCGCTTCCCTGGTCTAGCATGAGGTGCTCATCGGGGTCCGGTTGAGCGTCATCGTCGTTGTTCGTCTCAGCGTCAAACGGTTTCTTCTCCTCATCAACGGGTCCGTCCATGGGTCAGGTATTAAAGGAACGGAAGTGCAAGAGTCAAGGTGATGAACAATGAACCTGGCAATAGCAAGCTGTTTGATCATGTTTGATTTAGAAGCCGCCGGCTGTGAATTATTGTCGGCCATGTATATATTTCTGTATAAATAAGTAATATTCAACTGCAGCGATGGATGGACCGCTGTCCCGCCATAGTCCTTTAGGTCCTTCCTCGAGCTGTGTAGACCTTTCTTAGTTAGCAGAGCACGAGACTGCAATAGGGTGTCATTGGGCTTGACCCTAGGACTGCTTGTTCGGGGGAAAGCGAGGAAGCAAATCCTATCGTGTCCGAGTGCTGAGTCGCCATCAACCTTCGGGAGATTGAAATGGATTCATTGATCTAACAATCACCATTCAGGTGTATTAATTCTCATATATGGTCAAGCACCAACTGATTCTTGGATCTCGTGGCTTGAAATACCAGAATCTAGGTCAACCATTGGACCGACTAAAATTGACTTGTCGGCACAGTGTTAAGTCATGAGCATACTTGCTTGACGACGCATTGCAATGCTATGCGCCCCCCGGCATTATCGTGGGGACCGGTGCCCTCCCCCTCCCCCCATTTACAGAGCTACTATATACACCCCAACCTTCACTCGTTACACTGCCAATATCGATATTCAACAACGCTCCATGGAAGACTCAGAGAAAACACTCAAGATGTTTCATTCCGTTTCGATCGAATTCATGACTAGCCTTGAAGCACTCCTACAAAACTGTTCTTCGTACTGCATCAACTTTATCATGGGTATGCTCTAGCTAAACTTTAATCACAGTGGTGTCATCCATAGACAAGCCGGCCCTCCAGAAGACAGTCCCCTCCAAGTTGTACAGAGCTGGTTGGCCGTTGATGAATTTCTCAAGCAATGCTTCCTATTGCGCGCACAGTCCATTGTCTTTGCAGATAAACTCCTGATATTCCTACAGCAACTGAGCGGGACAACTAGCAATGATTCTTTGGATATCCACTCTCACCAGGACGT